AGGGAGAGAGGGAGAGAGAGAGAGGGAGAGAGAGAGAGGGAGAGAGAGGGAGAGAGAGGGGGATTTTATTTGGTTTCTCCGATCATCACCAGGCGAGTGTTGGAGCACGGATCTTTTCTGATATTTCCTTCCTCCTCCTTGACCTACCCTCATCAATACTCATACACACTTGCACGCCCTACACTATCACACATGCCGAGAACAGTGGTGGACGTGATGTTCATTTTGTGGCTTGGACTGGCTGGAGAGGTGGGCCGACGGGAAATATTTTTGGGGGGAAAACTCCCGCAAATTCGTCGCCGAATCTCGTAATCCACCGGGGCAGAATTGCCGTCACCTCTCGCGATAAAATACGCACCATACTTACGGAATCAATGGTCAGCAGTTGACGCTCCCGCATTGATTAGTAATCAATTGTTCAACCAATCAACGTACTGCATGGTTTTTTGGCTGTTCATAAGGCCTTCCCGGAGGGGTGAATAGTGTCGGCGGGACTGCCCGATGCCTGCAACCTTCTCAGGCAAAGAGGCGCTTTTGGTGGGTGAATGACTTTGGCACGGTGACGGGCATTTGGCAGCGGGGGACGGCCCGAGCGGTTGGCAGCCCGCAGACGAGAGGAATCTCGCGTGGGACCCGGTGGCGGTCCTGCTGTCGGGAGACAGCCGCGAAGGCGTGCCTTACTGGCAGGCAGAAATGTCTTAGGCGCTCGTCTGCGCGCCCTAAGCTTGATATCCCGTAGGATGCGCGTCTTGGCAGGGGAAGGGCTGTGTTCCACCTTCCAATGTTCCGTTGCGAAAACTGACGCGTTAAATCAGCGCTCTCCCGTCTAGTGCAGAGATAACACAATAAATAACTGTTATACAATTTACGTGTAATGTGACATTTTGTTTCGATTCACGACTTTTTGTTCTTTGGAAAAGGTTTTACTAATGTACTATTTACTGGACACGATATGTCATTTACATAAACATTACTGGCACATCTTTCAACAGCTACCGCATAATAAAATCAATTTTAAATAGAAATAATTGCCATACTTTCTTCTCTTTTACAAAAGGTTTACAACTACATTTGGATGCTAGACCTTTGGAATTCATACCAAACAAATTAGTATTTATTTTATAATTCACAAGTAACCTGGAATACATGTGTGACTTGCAGATCAACTACCGTATCAACAAGCCGCCCCTCATCAACAAGGCGGGCAGCGTGGACTGGTGCAAGCAGGCGGACGAGCTGTGCGAGGACGAGGAGCAGCGCGTGGGCATCAGCTGCCCCGCCACCCGCGCCCAGGGGCCCGCCAAGAAGGGAGCCAAGCAGCAGCAGAAGAGGAACAAGTTCGCCCCCGTGCAGTGCCCGCTGCGCCCGGTAAGCCCTACCCCCAGCAACGTCAGCTCCGCCCACGCACGCCCTCGCTTCCACCAAAGCGTGCCCCAACTCTCTGCCCACGCCCGGCCTCTCCTCAACGCCCCGCCTCTGCGGCCATTCCCGCTCTGCCACCACGCGTGCCCCTCCACCCTTGCTGTATCTTTCCCCGCGCGCCCTGCCGTCCCTCCCGCCCACCAGTCGCGCCCCGCTCCTCCATCCTCCTCCACCCTTGTGTCTCCTCCCACGACCCGTCTGTCCGCCCAACCCTGTCTTTCCACCCACGCCCCCCCCTGTCGCCCTTCACCCCGCCTCCCTACCCACCTCTCCGCCCTCTCCACGCCTCTCCGCCCACACCCCAACCCTCCCTTCTCGCTCGCTGCAACGTTCCGTTCTCGCCCCACCTCTCCGCCCATGCCCTGCTACACGACGGCGCACGAATCAACACGCGGGTCAGTTACCACAAAGTGAACACCTCACTCTACCAAAATACCGGACTGTCGAACAGTACTCCCACCAAAACCCAGGACCGTCAGTTACCGTTATTTGTTGATAAATTGCCTTTTTTGTGAACGTATTCAATATGCCCGAATGAAAACGGCATTTAGTTCATCAAATTTAAAAAACCCGGACATTATTGAATATGTATATTGTCAAAATTGCTCTTGAATAATACTTTTCTAGTCGGGGTAATTTATTACAATGTTGGTCATATACTTTTCTAGGATAAATTGATGTACAAATAGCGAAATAGTAATATCAAGCAATGTTGACACTGTTCTGTCTAAACTTGTTTATCTTATTCTTACAAAATCTTTGAAAGAAATATTTCCCCCAAAATATATTTTCCAATATAGCAGGGGCAAATGTCCCATGTGAAATTTCCCACTACAAGTTCATCGACAAAAGAATCCTCGTCGAAACCCTTCTCGTCCTAGAAGTTTGAAACATTTACTCCGTTGTTGTACTCACTATGTTTCGTATGTCACTTATTGTGATCCGAGGCTACCGCGCGTGTTGTGACGGTTCCGCGCGCCTGGCTCTGAGCCCAGAATGCTTTCGCAGGGGCGTCGGTGCATCTCGCACGTGGTGGACGTGAAGGAAATCAAGCCCCACCGCCGGCACGTGATGGGCACCTTCAAGGTGAGCGCTACGGTGGACCACGGCGCCGCCGGCAGCTCCTGCATTGATGGCTCCTTCACCATCGCCGACTCCGCCCAGGGGTAGCCGCCGGCGAGACACTTGTTGGCGACAAGCGCGTGCAGGCATGTGCTTCTGTTCAAATAAAGAAAACAAATACACTACAAAATACGTGTTTCACGTCAGTTGGGCACTTATCACGTTCAGTGTTATATTTCGCCCCAAGTCACATATGCTGCATGTACTTTTAATACATATTCTAGCTTGATCTGGGATGTGCGGGTGACGCCGCGTCGATGGCTGAGGTGCCGACGTTTCGACCGACATATCGCGGCTCTTTTCAGGGCTGTACTGCGCAAGGCAAGCAGCAAATTTGTGCAGTTTTGTGAACGCACTTAAAGTGCAATGCGCGTTCACGCGCAACTAGCGGTGGGACATTCCTACCCTTACGGCATCTATGTCCTATCTGTAAACATAAGAGAAAAAACAACGGTCAAAAAGACATTAGCCTACCGGCGCGCGCATGCGTGTTTTGTAATACTTATGTTTATGTCCCAATCCCACTTCGCTGTTTCAGATTGCTCTTACTCCAGAAAGTGTTTGTCGGTCGCCTATACTTCGCCCTTAGATCGGGCTCGTATCGAGGCGATCGCGGAAATGAGTTCATTTTCCGAGTCAGCTGCTTTCTCAAAAAAGTTTTAGCTAAAGTTTTTAAGTGGTTTTTTTAGCAGTGCCATGTGATGCTTCGCGATGTAGAGTTTTTATACGAGTGTAATCTAGGGGCGCGCGGCTCTGAGACACGTCGTTTTGAAATCTACTTGCAGTTTGTTTAAGTGATAGTTTTGGCTGCATTGCCCAAATTCGGGCATGCGTAGTCCATTTTGCGGCCTAATTATTACTTTATAAAGCGTGAGGCAGTATTGCGCGTTGACAGTTTGCTCCGCCTGTGAACACAAGCTTGCGCAATCTGCCTCGGTCTGCCGCGCTTTTTGTCGCCAATTTTCTAAGTGCGGTTGAAAAGTTAAAGAGCTATCTAAAGTATCTCCTAAATATTTGACGTTTTTGCCAATTTATCGCGTCCCCGCGAAAGCGGAGGTGGCCTGCGTGAATTCCGGTCTCCGTGTGAGAGCACAGCTGCGCTCTAACTCACATTGACTTTGACCCGCCACAGTTTCAGCCACTCCTGGATCTGTAACAAATGTAGATCCAAATACTTCTGAAGAGCCGATACTTCTTGACATGGGTATTACAGCCGTGTCGTCTGCATACAAGGCGCGAGCTCTGTTTGAGGTGGTGCGGTACAGAAGCATATCCGCACGTACAGGCTGCAAGAAGCGAGGCAAGCAATCAGGCTCCTTGCGCGGCACTCCGGCGCGTACGCGCCGGCGGAGTAGATTTTTGCAGTTCCAAAGCGTTACTTTGAAACGTTTCTTTTGCTAGCTACGATTCTGGATTGGACGCGTGTTATAAGGTAGATAGGAAGTTTATGGAGTGGAGTTTATAACGGAGCCGACGTGCCAGACCTTATCAAAGGCCGCTTTGTCAACACTCGAGGAAAACTCACGCTGTGAAATCGCGTCATTAATTGCGGTCTTATCGCGGCTCCGTGAATATCTCGCGCATCTATAGCGCATGCCGCGTTGTCTCGTAGTCGAACCGCGCGAGAAGCAGAGGACTGCTCCTTACATTTTAAACAATTGTTTTCCTGTAACAATTCTTAGCAATTCTATTTTGCATCATTTCTTCACAACGGCGTTTCCCGACCGTTGTTTAATAGGCTAATGGCCTGTATGATTCGGAGCTTTTTCGGTTTTGTTTCCCGCTTTCGTCGAAAATCGTTAGTCATGCGCCGTGCTTCCACATGACTCGAAGAAGATGCTGAAACATATAAATCAATAGCATTAAACAGTGCGACCAGAACACTGTGGTTGCCTGTGGCAGCCTTTTCAGCAGGACGTTCGTTAGTGATACTGCTCCGGGGACGGAGTTTTCTAGTCTTCAAGCTCGCGCGATGCCGCTTTTACTTAGCTTCCTGTAGTAGGAGACTCGGCTTCGTCGCGCTGGCGGCCAAGGCGCTCAATTACGCGTCTTTGTTCACGCTCGACAACGTGCGACGTATCGGGAGGCGCCTGCCTGCGTACCGGCTGAAACCGAAGATTCTAGGAACATTACGCTAGGTAGTTCTCGCCTCTCTGGCCATTGATTCAGCAGAGTCTCTCCTGTGCTGGTCTGAGAGCGGCGAGCCGCGTAATAGGTTTCCTGGAAAGCATGCGGCTCGTAACGGCGGCCACAGTGACATTCATCCTTCAGGTTATGAGACCTGACAACAATTCGGCCCATGTTCTGATTGCGGGTATCAGCTAGTTCGATTTCTACTTTGCGTTTCAATCGATTTAGCTCCGCTTAATCAGCTGGCAATGTCGCGTGTCTGTCACACTCTGCGCGCCCTGTTTTTCCTAGAAATAAGATTCAAATAGTAGGAGTTAATGGTTGCTCATTTTAGAGGAACGCTGCCTCTCCGCCTGCTGCGTTTAGGCCGTCCGTGCAGTCAAACCTCGGCGGAATTTTTCTGCTGTCGCGAGCCTCTATTGCCTGCGTCCTTTGCACGGGCGGCTGCGTCTGTATGCCTGCGCAGCTCCGTCTGAAATTGCTTCCCACGTCGTGGCGCCTCTCTGCGTCGTATAAGCGCTGCGAAGTCGAAGAGCTTAGGCCGGCCGTGCTTCTGCATATCCGACTTACACTGCGGAACAGTGTACAGAGGAGGAGGTTCTTGACGGTAGGTTTAGGCTGGAGGAGTGGTAGTGAGTTTCTTGAAAAGTCGCGATATAAGGTGTATCCGGGCTGCAATCGCTCTATAGGAAATAGTGAGGGTGGGGGTATGCTTTGCGTGCGTAGATTTCGCAGCCGTGTTGCATCAGCAGATTGCTTTCAGCTATTATGGCGCGGCGAGGGCAGGTAATACGCGAACTCCAGGGCCGTGGTTTGCGCATTCAAAGTTCGCCAGCCACTATTGTTTTGGGTAGTGTTGCCTGCTTACGTAGTTTTGCAATTTGTGCAGGCTAGGTAGGTCTTCGCGCAGTCGTTCCGCGCTGGAGCGATGCGGGCGCGTGCGTAGATAATAGCGAGCGGACACGGCCTCGCTCTGTCGTGAATCGACAGACAGCCCCAGGATGCCTCGCGCGTGCTGCAGCTGTCGTAAGTTTCTCGTAACATAATGTTTATTCTGCGTCTAATTAAAATACCGCGTGGTCCCGCCTCCTCTGTTTGGTTGGGTCTGTCGCGACGCGACGTCTGCCGGCGCCGTCCGCGTGTCGTCTCTTCGTAGCAGAAGAGAACTGGAATGATGTCTCAAGATGAGATGCCGAGTATGAAGCATGGTCTTCGCCAACATCATTGGGCTCGACAATAATTATGCCGAGCGAGAAGGCTTGTAGCTCTGACCGTGCCTTCCTCGGCGAGCAGATGCCCGTTACCAGTTCAAAATGGCACGCGGCTGCCGCTGTTCTAGTACAAACGACGAGCTAGCCATTATTAAGGATAGGAAGTGTGACGGGGTGAGGATGAGCGTCCCCCCCCGGCTTATCCCCGCCACGCAGCGGTGTCATGTGGCATGCTCAAGAGTATTGTGTATCGACAACCTGAAGCATGATTGACGGCCCACTCGACGGTCTCGCATCCCGTGACGCTGCCTAATAGCCTCAACACCTTTCCGGGGGCGAGTCCGTTTCGTGCGGAGATCGTCCACCGTCTGTGCAGCAGCGCTTCTGCTCGCTCGAGTGGAGGGAACAAGCACGTCTCCCGCCGTCGCCTACTCTGCTCCAGGCGCGCAGCGCGCTCCTCGCGGACCGTTTGGGGCTGGCGCTCCCGGTGGGGGCGGGGTCGTTGGTCCAGGGTGGCGGCGTATGACCGTCTCGGTCGCTCTTCTGCTGCTGCTGCGCTCGCGCGTGCGCGTGCTGGGTCGAACGCTGAGGCTCGGCGCGGCGGCGTGAGGGTGTGCGGCGGCGCGAAGCTCGCGCTCCCGCGAGGGAGAGCGCGACGGCCTCCGACTGCGTGTCGGCCGCTCTCCTCTCTTGGATGCGGGCGCGTTGCTGTCGGTCCCGGGCTGTAGCCGCTCCTGTGCGCTGCTGCTGGCGTTTGCTGCTTCCTCTGAACGAGCGGCGCTTGTACTCGGGACAGCCTTGTACTTCGGCCGCCGTGTGGTCGCCGGTTACAGTTAGCGCATTTGCGCTCGTTCCGCTGGGGGGTTTTCCCCAGTGGGCAATCTGCGCTGCGGTCGGTGCAGTTCCGTGGAGTACGTGTTACTCCACGGCTTCTCTTCGAGGGCGGCGAGAGCATCTTCGGTGCGCCTCGAGGGACTCGCACCGTGATCCTGACAGCGTCGCCCGCCACCTCGCGCGTGATTTCGGCTTCACCGCAGCCGACCTCAAGCCCTCGAGGAGCCCGAAAAATGTCCGCCGACCCGTAAAAGAAGATTGGGGGTGGGCGTCGCGGCGTCGAGAGACGATCTCGAACACGTCTTCTTCCCTCTTCTCCGCTCCGCACTGGCACTGACTGCAGCGGCGGTGTCGGCTGGCGGCGGCGTCATGGCTGCAGCAGCGGCGTCGTGGGCGGTGAGGTGGCCGTGCGCCGCTCCATCATCTTGTTCTCCTCCTGGAAGCAGGAGAAAGAATTTTCACATATTCGCTCTGTTGAGGCGAGCCTAAGCGTCGCTTAGGCTCGCGCTTGCCTGCCTCTGCCTTCCCCTGCCACGCATCGCTGCTCCTTCCCCGTGAGGGGTAAAGAACGAGCCGCGCGGGAGACGACGCGGGCGTCACATCCTATGTCGCCCTAGGTAGGGCAAGTACGCTTGCTCTGTTAGCCTACAAAAGGCTGTTGATTTTGATGCGGCCGGAGCTCTTCCTATTTGCGTCCGTTCCCTGTGACGGTCACGGAGCGAAATCTACTGCGCAAGGATGTTGGGCGCTCTGGTTTATATAGAGGTGGGCCAGGTGATAGGCCGAGGTGACGGCCAATCGGGCGCGACTGGGTGGAGGGTGAACGGAGGCGGGGAAATGGACGGACGGGAGCGGTCCGTGCTCGGACGGCGT